GGATAAAACTCACCACCAGTACCAATTACAATAAGGTAATAAAATTTAAATACTTAAAAATAAATATTCGACTTAAAACTCGTGGCTAAAGGTTAATCTTACTTGAGTAATGCGGGGTGTTACAAATTAGACTTCCTGCTTAAATAACCAACTACAACAATTACTTTTTCTAGACGAATATAACCTTTATCAATCAACTCTTGCAGCTTTGTTCTCAATTTTCTTACCTTCGTGGGAGTTATATCCATAAAATTGCTCTTACTCAACACCTATCTCAACCTCATGGTCTCTTTTCTTAAGACTAGTTTAACTAACTTCTTCCTCCTCCTTTATGTTTTGTCTACCAGCAATACCTTGAGTTTCGAATTCTTAAAACATACGCATTCTGTCACGTAGATGCATGACTTTCTATATGATGAAAGGCATATCACATATTCTTTAAGTAAACTATAATGCATATACTTCTCCTATAATGCAGGATCTTTATACTCTGATACCAACTGACACGACCCGTCCCAAAACACCTACTAGTCCTAGAACGAGTCGCACCGACCATAGACCCCGACTAACTACGGAGTCCATGGTCAACTTCTTAACTTTGACCTGATCTTTGACTAATAAGCTCTGAATGGATGCATAAAAAACAATACTTTACAGAAGAACCATTTTTACATCCATTCTAAACATTCTATTCTTCTGATCTTTGACTAATAAGCTCTGAATGGATGCATAAAAAACAATACTTTACAGAAGAACCATTTTTACATCCATTATAAACATTCTATTCTTCCAACCTGGTGAAAATATAAAACTTTTTACAATTACACTACATATACGCACAAAATGATATGCGACCTTTGTACTACTCTAGGTGGCAAAGCTGATCTACTTTCTCCTTGAACCTTAGAAACTCAGGTCCAACCTGGGGAAAAACAAATGATAATGAGTGAGCTAAAAAGCTCGTGAGTGGTAAGTTGATAAGAAAATAATCTCATAAAACTTCTTTGATAAACAGCTGGAATTCAAGCTCTTAAAAACATTATAGAACAAGAGTAATATTATAAACTTGAGCAACTAAAAATTCAGTAAACTTTCTCTAGTCGAACTTGTAACAATAATTTCTTTCTAGGAAAACTGAAAAGGTAACGCTCCAAAGCCCAGGATTTGAACAAGGATTTGGAATCCGGATTTGGCCCTAGTCGCCTCGGTATTCCCCTGCATCCCCTACGACCGAGTTACGCCAACTTCTCAATATGCTCTAAAAGCACCTTCTAACAACATGTAAAACATTATTCTTCCACCATAAAACAAGCTAGTGAAAACACAACAACATACATATTTACAGTCATGAATTCTACAATTCTAGGGAATCTCTAGCTTTAATAAATGAAAACTTACCAAATTTCAACTACTCCAAAACTCACTGATTTAAAGATTCTTCTCCAAAACTCACTGATTTAAAGATTCTTCTCCTAATTTAAGCAACTTGAAAACCCCTAACTTCAACGTTCAATCTCTAGTCTTCTTCAATGACAGCTAGCATTGCATCGTCCTACTGCTTGCTGCCGCCACACTAGTGCTCACTGCTACTATCCACTGGTGTTCCACTACTACCCACTGGTGTCGTCACTTTTTATAACAATCGTCGTCAATCTTGTTTTTTCAATAGAAAAAGAACTTAAAACAAATGTAATAAAAAACATAGATCAAGCAAAAATAATGATGCGTAGAATCGAACAAATCAAGAAAGAGAGTAACTCGCCTTGACCGCACTTCGGATTTTGTTATCAATTTCGTCCTTCTTATTCCTCAATTGCATTATTCTTGTTTAGAATCAGCCTCTCTTGCATGATTGTTTGTTGCAACATCTCTCCCTTGCTATAAAATTGGATTTGGAAAGTTTGATTATGTGTTTTGTATTTGTTTATTGAAGAATTAGCACAACATCAAACTTCAATCCAGCTCGAACTCTATCCTTGTTCCGACCTGAGACTCTGAGGGAAGACCTGCACAAGAGGGTAAAATCTCCGACGCTCTAGTCAGTAAGTAGCTCAAACTCAATATTAAGTTTGAGGAGAAATTCGATACATAATGGTGAAATGAGGCCTCTATTTATAAGTTTAAGCTCCGATAGGGGTCACGACGAGCAGTTACCTTGGTCAGAGTTAAGATCGGACATGTCGGGTTTGAGCAGGTCGAACCCAAACGTTTTCTACCCGTATTAGTAAATTAATTTTGGAGAAAATGGCGAAGTTATCCACCTCGAAGGGTTCCGGGGTAGAGCTGCACGAAACTTCATCTGGTGGCATCTCCTTCAACGATTCTTTGTCCTCCACGTGGCAATAATGTTTCGATCCCCAATTATTGGCTCCCTTTCTACCAGGTTCGAGCTCGATCTGGCTGAAAAGTTACCTTTCTGGAAACCAATCTACGTGGCAACTTCCAAGTTCGAAATACTAAATGTTGTTGTTGGTAAACCTCGAAAACGGAACTGTCAATCGGTGCGTACTCAAGTGCTTCGGCCGTTCGACTTTCCTTCGATCTAGATCATCCATTCTGGGACACGCGTCCTGTCGAGATTAATTTTCGGGGAACTATAAATACCCCCAAGACTTCAGATCTGAATTTCACGCTTCCTGAAATGTTGTTGTCCGACCAGAGTAGTTCGGTACTTACTCTAAGTCAGTCTTGTACGTTTGCTTTTGCTTCGTAATTTCACTTTTTGAGTCATTTCTAGCTCTTCCAACTCTTCGAGTTCGTCTAGTTTGAGTCTGTCTAACAGCGTAGATCAGAGTCGGAGCTCTTCGTCTAAAAAGGTCGACTCTGTTGAGGAGTTCGCTAGTAGGTTAGATTTTGAGTTGGAGGAGGAGATAGATAACTTTAGGTTCCCTGATGTGGATGGAGATGATAGTGACACCTCCACTTCGGGCCAGGGTTTAGAGTTCCCTTCCCAAATGTCGGAGAACTACCTCGGCCCTCTCCATAAGAGATATAGTATTTTGACGACATCATCCTTAGCCTTTCCGAGGTCGGGGAGTGTCCAAACAATCCCCCGGAAGGGTGCGTAACTCTGTACTTGAAGATGTTCGAGTACGGCTTTCGCCTACCTGTTCATCCTTTCGTGCAAGAGTTCATAGCTTGAACTAAGCTAGCTCCGGCTCAAGTAGCCCCCAATGGATGGGGTGTTGTATTTAGCTTAATCGTAATATTCTGGTTAAGGTGTCATGTGGTAGACGAGTTAGAACTCCTCAGGACCAACCAGCTCTTAGCCTGCTTCGAAGTTAAGCGAATCTGTATGAAGCCAAGGTGGTACTACTTGTGTGCTAGGAAAGACGCGTGAGGCATCCTCAAAGGTCCGACCTCCATAAAGAAGTGGGCTGGGAAGTGGTTTTACACCTCCTGTGTGTGGTTGACCAAGACTGAGTCCGACCAACCCTTCCACGACATCCCCTGTAGGTTTGGGAGCTTAGGTAAGGAGTAGAGTCCTTATTTGTTTTTTATTACTCGTCTTCGTATTCAAACCCAATATTTCTTTGTTTTACAGTCGCCATCAGACCTATCCCTCAACTTTCTCGGTGAACATTCGACATCCTGAAGTTATATAAGGACAAGTTCAAGGGCGGCAGAAAGCTCAGCACCTTCTTGACTGATAAGCTCCTATTGGTGTCAGGTCTACTTAACTATAATCCGCTGCACGTACCTCCCGAAGCTCACAGACCCAACTCATAACTCAGTAAGTTGTACTCGAACCTTGATTCAGGTACCTTAAACCTTTTCTGATGTGAACCAAGGAAGCACCATTGTCGTGCCTCAGGACCCATAACAAGATTAAGA